AACTGAGCGAACGATTGCAGAAAAACCAAGACGAAGAAGTAGTAGTATCGTGGATAGTATCGCAGATAGTAGCGAGGAACGAAGAAGCAGAGAAAGAGAAACAACTGAGCAAACGGCTGCAGAAGAACAAATGGCTGCAAAGGAGAAAGTCGTGGAAGAACAGAGAGTTGTAGAACGAAGAAGGGCAGCAGTGAAAGCCACTGAAGAACACAGGGCGGCAAGTCGAAAAGCTGCGGAAGTGCAGAGAGCCGCCGAACAGCAAAGAGTCACGGAAGAGTGGATCGCAGTGCTCAGACCCGCTGAGCGAAGGAGCACAAAAGAACAAAGAGGCGCAGCTCAAAGAGCAGAAGAAGACGCTTTAAAATTAAATGGAGAAGGATTAAGATTATTTAAAGAAGGAAAAGAAAAAGAAGCAACTTCTAAAATAGAAGAAGCACTTGGAAAATATGAGGAAGCAGCTGAAAAGTTTCAGGCCGCTGCTTCAAGGAAGATTCTAGATGTTATTCACAATTCATTCGTATTGGTGATAGATGCATTTATAAAAAATGAAGCCTATACGGAAGCGCAAGAGGCAATAGACTTCGCGAGAGATCGGTTTCCAGATACAACTAAGACTTTCGACGAAGCAAAGGAAATGATAACGAACTATACGTGGTCTCCTAATTATAAAGAGCGAAATTTGATTCGATTGGAAGAGGAAGCGGAAAGGATTCGTATCGTGCAACTGGAGCAAGAGAATGGAAAATAGACAAATCGCAGTAGTATTCTTAATAGTGTTGATTCTTGGGTTCTATTTTATTTTCTATTGTCAATCTTATCAATGTATTGTTTTTTTTTATTGTATTTAATCTTTTTTTAAGTTTTTGATTGTTCGTGTTTTTTGTACATAGCTCTGTTTTTGTGTTCGATGTATGTAAAGAAAAATCTCCTGTAGCGTTGCGTCCAAGTGAATCGAATGGAAGAATGAAGTTTATTTGTCCAGATACGCAAATGACTGCGTCGTCGATCTATTACCGGCTCGTTGAAGCAAGAAATCGTCTACTGATGGAGATGGCTACTTTTTTTAATTTGGTTCATATATCCAAGCAGATCTCCAGTACTCAGCAAGATTGCAATGCAAATGTTTCTAGGTGTTTTTCTCTGTAATACAGTGGAACAACTGGATACGCTATTTATCAGTGAGAAAATCTGACAAACTGGAAAAACAAACGTTAATCATCACAAACTTTCTTCGTCGCTCAGCATCAGTGAATATCTTAGACAAAACCATCTTGAACGATTACGTTTTGGGTATAAAAATCAGGAAGCAGGGTGTTTGATGGCAATAAGAGCAGATTACAATGACTTAACCGGACAATCTACATCATGTATGATTATTCTTTACGGTGCTTTGTAATAACAGACTTTCGCAAGTATTTCGTTTACAATCATGTACTTAAATTAATTATCTTTTATTGGAATTTCCAGTAGAAGAACGTGCAAAACAGCCGTAAGAGATGAAGTTGTAGAACAAATTAGATCGGATTGCATCGATCAATTATTCTAACAATTGGTGTTTGACTAGTGCTCAATGAAATGCTACAAATCAGAATCTACCGATTTCTGATGAGATTTTCCTTATATGCAGGATTGAAAAACAAATGCTGCAACAACGAATAAAATCTATATGAGTGATGATAATTTGAAATTTTTTTGTAATAATAATTAATCATTGTTTTGATCTATTGTATTGCATATATAGAGGACACTAGAAAATGAATTCAAAGATTTTTTTATTCTAGATTTACGTATTGTTTTTTTTGACACACAACATAAAGAAAAACCGACGTGAGTCGAGTATGTAACACTTTTTTACAATTTTCTTAGCGATTCTTTGTCTGTTTCTCGTTTGTGTACTGATTGTAATTGTATGAGGTCTCAACTCTCGAAATTGAAAGTAAACATGGTCAGAACAGATAAAAGTTAAGGAATCATCAGGTGATCGGGTGACGAATTGATCGAGCTCTCTCTCTTGATGTTTAAATCTTGATCTTAGAAATGTTCCCTATTTTTGCAAAAGAGAAAATGAACTCGAAATACTGGTTGTTGATGAAAATGTAACAACTAACTACATTTCCGCCAGCCACCTGTTCTGATAAGAGGAAAGATTCAGTTCTTCTTCTGCTCTCTACAACTCTCTAAGAGAAATTCAGCAACATATTCCTTAAAAGAATTCCCATAATTTAGACCTGTTCTTTTTGAATAAGCTAAATACCGGCATTCAACTAAAGCGAACATTTCCCGAGTACCTTTCTGATTACAAATAGATATCTACATCTTTCATACATTTTTTACTTAAGACTTTCTTGAAGAATCAATCATATGTTCTATAATTCACATCGATTAACCAAAATAATAGTTCAACTATAACAGTTATTTTATTATCGTTTTATTCCTATACAAATAATCCAGTTGGCAACAGAGCAACGACTTTAATTTTGACAAAATAATTATCTAACCGTATCATCTTTTATGCCGAACAGTGAACGAGGTCGTTCGTCAGCATCCAAACAATCAGTACCATCCAATGTTTTGTTACCTAATACACAGCAATTTGAAGGAACTCGGTTTCAAATTCTTTATACCACTGATCATACATTCAATGATGTGTTGTTCCAAAATACTATTATCAAGAAATACATATATGATAGCTGCTCCGACATCGACAGTACAATCAAAGAATACATTAACAAGAGCCCAGCTGTTCTGTTTGCCATATGTGAAATAAAAAAACAAAAAGACACATTTATTCGCAATCATAAAGAACATTGGTTCACATTCGGTTTAGTACCAGAAAATGGAAGGATTACAATATTCATTAAGGATTCATTGGATACAAAAGAATATGACTTGGAAAAACAGAGATTTAAAGAAAATATTACAGCAAAATTGAATACAAATTCAGAAATTGATTTCGTCGAGCATAGTCAGAAAGAAGAATACTTGGTGAGTGGTAGCGATATTTCTATAGCCTTTGCAAACTTGACGATATTAATGAATGCTTGTAAAAATAAAAATGAAAAACTGTGCGCGGAACGATTTCAAAAGATGAAATTTTATACTGCGTCTAGTGTTATGAACAATTTTGATAGACTGATAGTGGAGATCGGACTAAGTGATGATTTCAAATTTCGCCTGAAGCCTGCGTTACAGAAAATTCTGTCGGCTTTGCAAAGAGTGATTGATAAGGACGATGCATATAAACTTCAAGATAAACAATTAATGAAGTTAAGTGCTACATTAGAAAATAAGAATTTTTCACCGCGAGACCAGGATAAAATTGATTTGAGAGATATCGTCATCGATTTGTTTGTAATTTTGGAGAAGAGAGGACAAGCGTTTGACGGAAATATCCGAGAGGAAATGAAGAAATTCTTTCGCAAAGAAAATGATCGATACATTAAGAAGATTGATGAAATTGATGAGACATTGCGTACCGATAGTAGAAATGTTCAAGTGGCGAATGAGTTAGGTCTTGCACTAAATGATCGATTATCATGGTTGACTAACATAAGAAAATTGATTCCAGATCAGTTATCCTTCAACGACTTAGATATTCTACTCAAACAGTTCGGAGATACTAATAAGCAGAAGACTTTGAACAATACAAGAATTCAGTTAGAATACAAATTAAATAGTACAGTCGATTGTGATAAAGTTATGGATATCATTTATGAACTCGATGATGTTCGATATGAATTAGATTATTGCGCTAGAAAAGTAGAAGCTAGTAAAATGATTAATATCAATGATTTAATTATTCTACTTGGATACATAGTGGAGAATGTTGAATTATCTAATCCAGACAAACTCTCATTAGGAACACTGGAAAAACTCGTAGAAGTAGGAAAAATGACTGAAAATATAGAAGTATCATTAGCTATTATAAAAATATTTAAGTTTATCGACATGTCTAAATTTAGCGACATAGAAGAAACATTAGATGAAATATTACCAACAATACCCTTTGATCAACGAAAATTAATTGAAGATCTGAGTAGAAAGTTGATTTTACGAGAACATCCAAGTTTACTAAAATATTTTTATCGAATATTGATTGAAAACGAAGATAAACAAGCAAGAGATGACACATTGAAAATTTTACAACAATGTACAGTTAATGATCTTGCATATATTAGTGACGCTATTCGATTAGAAAACAAGTGTTTTAGCGATGATTCGAGTATAGTTGATGATTGTTTAGAATATGTTAAAAAGAAAAATAGACTCACATTAAATTGTTTTGAAAAGTTAACGAAATATTTTCATGTGAATGAAAAACTTGAACTGATCATCGAAATTATTGAACTAGAAATACAGACTTTACCAAAATTTTTCATTGAAAAATGTTATGATTACATAGGATCATCATTATTAGACACGTCTACAGCTAAGAACATAATTTGGTTAAGTAAATCGTTAGTTAAGACTAAACAAATGAGTCTGAAAAATATTCCGAACATTGACGAATTCATTTTACAACATCAATCAAATTTTGGTAACGATATTTTCGATTTATTATACGCCGAATATCAAAATGGATATGATATTTCAAAATCTATTCTTGATCGACTTAACGCTTCCGAAAACAACAATAATTATGCACGACATTTAATTAATTCAATAGATAAAACTTTCGAAAATTTAGATTTATTGGAAAATTCGCGGAATGATTTAAAAATACGAAAAACTGCTTTGGAAAATATGATCAAAGAACAAAATTATACATTAGATACTGTCAATATATTACAATCATTAATCAAATATGATATCGATTTAAGAAGCGATGCCTTCAAAGTATTGATTAAAATATTGCCACACGATTTTAGTAAAACAAATGATTTTAAAATTGATTGGGTTGAAATTGGAAGATCTATTGAACATGATCATACTATTTCCATTGATGACATAGCTCAATTTATAGACAAAGATCAACAAAATGAAAATTTAGTAGCATTTCTGCCGATGATAATAGATCGAATTCAAAATCACGATGTTTGTGTTGACGAAACTTCTAAACAAGCATTGGCATTATTAATTAAAATATCCAACGTAAAACAAAATGAAAACTTACTTTCCAATAAATTACCATATCTCTTGGAAGTTGCTTTTCGCACAATACATGATGAAGTTCGAGAGAGTATTGTGAAAATGATCAGAAGCTCAATAATTGAATGTGATCAAAATGACATACAAATTTTAAAATATAAAAGTGATGGTACTACGATTGAATCCTTTTTACCGGATGAATTATGCAAACTTGAATGCTGTCGTCAAATATTAGAGTTTGATACAAATGCATTAGAAAATTTAAGGAAAACTGTTCAAGAAGGATATGTCATCAGTGATAAGAAAATCGAATGTTTAATTGACGTCTTGACAAATACTAATAAACATGACCAGAACTTAGATGTGCGTTCTAAGATAAGTGAAATATTATTTGAAATAAATCTTAAACAAGGTCTAACAAATACAAACATCAATCGAATAACAGAACATACAGAACTACTAAAATCGGTTATGGTTATCGGAATTTTAGCTGTTTGTTTAAGTCGTAACATGGAATTGTCAGATAAAATTATAAATCAACTTTGGAAACAACTATTATTAATTGATGAAGAAAAAGATGAAAAATTAAAGAAGTATTTAATTTATGCAACAGTAAAAATTGCTACTCAAAAGAAAAATGTACCAATGAAAGTCTTGGAAAAATGTGCAATACTTTTAGAACAAAAAACAGAAACTATTGAAGTAAGAATTCTTTGTGCTCGTATATTATCAAAAGAAATTCAACAACATTCTTCTCAAATATCTCGAGAAACAACAATCATTGATTCATTAAAATGTCGTACATTAGAAATAGAAGATAATCAAGATTTTCTCTTAAATAAACTTCTATTTGAGAGTTTAGAAAAATTTATTGAAGAAAATCCGTCAGATAATGATTGGTTACAAATATATTATAACAAACTTAAAAAACGACTTGGTGTTCATCCTGATGAATTAAAACCAGTAGATGAATTTATTTCATCCAATTATACGAATGCTACTGATTGTAATAATTTGGAAAAATTTCGTTTATTATGTGCATTAAACAACACCGTCTTCAATCGGAAAAAAATTGATACGAATATTTTTCATGAATTTCATAGAAAACAATGACGAAAAGAAATCTTATGTAGTGAATTATTAGTTGAAACATTCAAAATGACTTCCGTTGCTGGTGTAGATGTATTTGAATTAGAAAATTTTCGTAAATATATCCATTTATTAAATACATATATCCTTACGCAAGATCAAAACGTTTATTCAATTGAAAGTTTATTACAATCACTAATCGAAAAACAAATTCTATGTCAATTTCGTCTTGAAATATTAAATGATGTTTTATTAATGTTAATTGAATCAAATAAAATAAAAGCATGGGATATTGTGATGAAAGATTGTAATTTTCAAATTTGTTTGATTGAATTACGTGAATTATGGTTAAAGAAACAACTGAAACAATTTGATATTGCATTTCATATTGAACAATTAAGAGAACTGAATCAATATTTACCATACAGAATAAGTATAATTAATTTTGTTTTATGTCAATTAATAGAAGATCCAAATATTGATGAATTAATTCAGTTTTTTATTCAACTATTTAATTGTAGTTTAACAATAGAAAGCAAGGAATACTTTTTGACAAATAAAATATCCAATAAAATTAATTTAAAGAATTTAAAATTGAAATTAAATGAACAATTTATTCAAATACTATTATCGAAGAAATTTCCATCTTATGCACAATATTTTCATGATAGTCAAAATTATCATTTTAGAAGAAAAAAAACATCGGTTGAACAAAATGCATACAATCAAGCAGAAACAACATATTGGTATAAGGCAGAAGATATAGCAATAATATCAATGGAATGGATGAAAGAATTTTATGGAACAAAATTTCGAATTACTCAAGCATTAGGAAAACAAGAAGACAGAAATTTATCGAGAATTCTATGTGATGTTTTAACTGAATATAAGCAAGATCATAGATCAACGATTATTCCATTGAATATTGCCCATAATCATTGGGTTACTTTAGCATTAATATACAATGAAAAGAACAAAGAAAATATTGCATTATACAAAGATTCGATGGGTGAACATCATTCCATTGTAGAACGAATAGAAATACAAAATATTCTTACTAATCAGTTAGAAAACATGAATTTCAAATTTCATCGATCTTGTGATCAATTTGATGATTATAATTGCGGAGTATTTACTCTTGCAAATATGAAATCTATGGCAGAGAACTTATCTAAACAAAAACAGAAATTATTTATTGATAATTTTGAAAAATGGAATTTTGTTACACAAAAACAAGCGATCGAACTTCGTCATAAACAATTCCCGAAAATGTATGTATTAAGTTTATTTCAATCGTACAAACGAAGAAAAATTGCCAATTATCATTCTATTGAATTGAAATTGATCAAAGATTTACTAGAAGAAAATAAACATGTAACATATCCAATAACAATTGACGAAACCGAAAAATTTGAAAATGGATTACGTATATCAATTTGTTTATCACAAGAAGAAAATTTAATCAATCAAAATAATTATGAATATTTGTACGGAATTGAAGCATCAGCAATAATACAAGGTAATGAAATCGATTTTCGTCAAGATAGTAAACTAAAGGAAGATATTAAACGTATATTGAAAATCAACGAAATTTATAGTACGGAAAAGAATAGAATGAAAATATTAGATCGACAATTGATTGGAATCAAAAAAGAGAAAAAAAGAAAATTAAATCCAGATAATGAATTAATAAATCAAATATCAGATGATGAAATTGAAGAAATTTTAAATCAAGTTTGTGTGGAAATCAATTCAACAAATAAACAAATTCTATGTATGAATTTAGGTTTAAATAGAATAAATAATCAAATAATTGACATCAACAAATGTGAAATAATAAAGAAATTACATGGAAAATTGATTAAAATTTTACATTCAGGTTGGACACTCAAATCAATACAACAAATAATTAATCATATTGATTTGAAAAAAGATATCAAACGTTTATTTGATGCATTAGATCCAATTTATGAATATCGTTTAAAAGAATTTGATAATAATATTAAAGGAAAGACGCTAATTGATATTTTAACATCTATTTTTCCAGAAGATTTAACTGAACAAATACATGATTTAGCTATATTTCAAACATTTGAACGTTCTTATGATAAAAACTTTAAACAATTAATAGAAGAAATATTATATTTAAATCGAAATCAAACAATATCATTTATTGGCGAGAAAAAAATTACAGAAGAATATAAAAATATTCAAATTACTTATCTAAGTAAATCTGTACTATATCCAAATTCTAATTGCATTCAAAAATGGTCAACATCAGACATACAACAATGGACAGAAGAGGTAAAAAAATCATCGAATTCCGTTAGTCATCATGAAAAAATTGCCGTTGTAATGAAAGCAGTCGAAATTACGAGCAAATTTCCTGTAAGAGAAATTCAGTTATTATCACTGTTGATATTGATAAATTCTGAACACAGTACTGGACGTCTCGTACAAATCAATACTGGAGAAGGAAAAACAACAATTGTGGCCATGCTAGCTGCAATTAAAGCTCTTGAAGGACATCAAGTAGATGTTGTTACGAGTTCACCTGAATTAGCTAAACCACAATCGATACAATTAAAAGAATTTTATCAACAATTCAATTTAACTGTATCTCACAATGGAAAAGATTTAGTAGATATCAAAATACGATACACAGCTGATATTGTTTATGGTGCAGCAAGTGACTTTCAAGGTGATATCTTACGTGATGAATATAGTAAATTGGGTACTCGAAATGGTCGAAAATGTGATGTGGCAATTGTTGATGAAGTTGATTCAATGTTAATTGATGACAGAAATCACATTGTGATGTTATCGTCTCAAATGCCGGCAATGGATCATTTAGAACCACTTTTAGCAGCGATTTGGATTCAGATTGGAGAAGTTGCCAAATATATTGAAGAAACTAATGGTAAAACCTATTTCATTCAACAACCAGATATATTTGATAATAGGGGTGAAGTTAGATTTGATATTGCCGCACAAGCTGTTGAAATTAAAGAATCAAAAGAAGATTTTATCAAAAAGTGTACAGAAAAACATCTAAGGAAATTAATTCGAGATATCGATCAAAAAATACCAGAGAAATATCCCGAAATTAAAATTCCGAAACATTTAAGAGAATTAGTACTTAAATATCAACTTACAAAATGGATTGATAGTGCAATTCATGCAAAATATCGATGTCACAATCAACAACATTATCTTCTCAGAAATGGAAAGATTGTACCAGTTGATGCCAGTAATACAGGAATTATTCAAACAAATATGCATTGGAGTAATGGATTACATCAATTTTTACAGATTAAACATGGTGCTAAAATTTGTGCCGAAAGTTTAACAACGAATTTTATCTCAAATGTAACTTATTTCAGACGATATGGTTCGAATCTTTTTGGATTAACAGGTACACTTGGTAGTAAAGCTGCTCAAAAACTATTAAGTAAAATTTATAATGTAGACAATGTTATTATTCCACCGTTTAGAAAAAAACAATATCAGGAATTAACACCAATTATTGTGGATAATGAAGATGATTGGTATGAGAATATTATTGAAAGTTCAATGAATAAACTCAATAATGGACGAGGTGTATTAATAATTACAAAATATATCAAAGAAGTGGATGAAATTAAAAATCGATTGATTAAGTCGGGTTATGATCAATCAAAAATAAAAACATATAGAACGGGAGATGAATCGAAAATTCTCGAAGAAGAATTGACATCTGGTGAAATCATTATTGCCACAAATATTGCTGGCAGAGGAACAGATATTCGAGCAGATAAAATTGAAAAATATGGTGGATTACATGTTTTGGTTACATTTTTACCACCAAATGAACGAGTTGAACAACAAAATGTTGGTCGAACATCAAGAACAGGAAATAAAGGCACTGGTCAATTTATTTTATTACAACAATATGAAAATGATTATTTGAGTTTAAAAACAATTCGAGATAAACAGGAAGAAATTGAGATATGTAAAGCAGAAATACAAATAGATGAGGTAACAATTAAAGATGCAGTATTTGAGGAATTTTGTAAGTTACTTACAAAGATTAATGGAAATGATGATACACAAACAAAAGAAAATAAAATAAAACAACGTGCCGTTGAAGATAGATTTGGTATTTGGTTAAAAATGCAAGAGTCAACAAAAAGAATAACAAAAAAAGAGATGCTGCGGAAATTTAAGGTATTTGAAGAAGAAATTTTGATCGATAATGCAAACAATGATTTAATTAGAAATCCATATTTTCATGTTTTAATTGGAAATGAATGTCTAAAGAAAAAAGATGCAGGAAAAAATCAAGATGCAATCAAAGAATTTACAAAAGCAATTAAATTGGATGAACATTTCCAAGTTAATGCTTATTATAATCGTGGATACGCACGACTTGCTGAATATGGAAAAGATTGTAAGCGAAATAAAGACGAAATTGATGCAGCAATTAATGATTTTAAACGAGCAAAACAAATCATCGAAGAGAATTTGGAACCGATGTTACATGTTATTCAACAAGCATCAATTTCTGAAGCTTTATCTGAACAACTAAGACGCAAAATGCTTTTATTCAGTACACAAAAATATACAATTGAATTAGCAATTGGAATTACAACAGAAGAAGTTAATGATGAAAAACAAGACTCCAACGAAGAATCAAGTAATGACAAAGATAAAGAATCACAAGAACATGGATGTATTGGTCAAGCAAGAAAAGATAATTATGATATTGAAGTTGAATATTTAGAAATTGAACAATTATTACCACGAGATCAAGACATCACATTGTTTAGCGATGAAATTGAAGAATATAAAAATAATGGATTTTTTGGATCCTTTAAAATAAAAGGATTGAAACCGATTGATTGGTCTGCAGTTATTATTGTTGCCAGTCTTGGTATTGCGCAAATAGTTGCTGGAGCAGCACTTGCTGTATATACTGCCGGTATAGGTAGTGCCATCGGTACAGCATTAATTGCTGAAGGTGTTAGTGATCTGATTGTCGTAGTACAACGCGGCATTATCAATCGAGATTTTGATTGGAAATCATATGGAATACAAAAAGCTATCAGTTTAACTGTAGCTATTGCATGTGTCGGATTTGGTGCAATGCTAGATGTAGCAAAAACTGTACTGGCAGGAGCGAGTAGCATCGGTCAAGTCATGACGACAACAGTAAAAGCAGGATGGATATTAGCAGCGAAAGCTATTGCAGCAGGTTTAGCTAAAGGTATAGCGAAAGAATTAATAACACAACTTATTGATCATGGTGTAAGTAAATCATTGATGCCTATTATACAAGACGAAGTTATGAAACGAGTTGAAAAGCCAATACAAAATGCTTTATTAATCAATGATCAAGTGAAAAAAATGCTCCAATTAGATGAAAAAAATCGAAATAATTACTATGAACGTCTAATCAGACAAAAAGCAATGGAATTATTCCATTCAACTGAACAACAAAGTGCATTAAAAACTATAACTATTGGTATAGTTAAAGGTATTGCTACACAGAAAATATCCGGTTTATCAGCAGTATTGAAAGCTGTTCAAGTAAAACAAACTTTAGAGGAGTTAGATAAATTTGTGCCTAATTTTATAGAAAAATTAAACAAAGCAATCGAAAATATATATAAAGAAGGGAAATTGGATGAAAAAGAAACTCAAAATTACAAGACATCAGAACAACAAAAACAGCACACAACAAGTGAACAAAAAAGCAGGATACGCATGAAAGAAGAAGATACTCAAAATTATATATTGACTTATACTCCAGAAACATCGAGTAAAGACATCGACCTTAAAAATGTACCAGAACCTGAACAAGTCAATTCTAGAAGAGAAAATAAATCTTCTGATGACTTGTATAGAGCATTAGCAAAGAATGTATCGCAACATATCTGTAATATTATACAACGTAAACTGATTGTTCTAGTTACCGATTTTGGTATTAATCATAGTATGACACTATTAACTGCAGACTTAGACAGAAGCTTACAAGTTCAAATTAATAATTATCAAGCAGAAAGAAGAATAGAATTTTTTCAAGATGGTGATAGAAATAATAGAATAGGAAAAGAATATAAAGAAGGTATGAAGTGCGAAAAAGCAGTAGTTGAGGCGCATAAGATGGTAGATGAATTGAGAAATGGCGGAGAAGCTGGATTACCGCATTTAGGACCATTAAGCGATGCAGCAGGAAGACCAATAAAAGTATTAGATGAGAAAGGACAACTCGTACGCATTATTGGCGAAGATAAACATGGTGAACCCATCGAAGTTCAATATCATAAAACAAATGCAAATCATCCTTCAGGACATTGGACTTTACCTGGAGGAAAAGAACCAACACTTAGTGGTACAGGAAACAATAATTGCTTGTTCAATGTTGTCGCACAAGCTACAGGAAAAGATCCTAATCAATTAAGACAAAATACCGCTATCAGAATGGAGATTGATAAGGAAAATCTCGCAAATCAGGTCCATGATATTAGAAGATTAGAGCAACATAAAAGGGATGCACTAACATTAGGAGGATTTACACATCATCTTGGTGAAGAAAGATTTGTGGTAGATGGATCTCAGGGTGTTAAACCTTATGGATCAAAGGCAGCAGGACACCCAAACGACCATGTACAAGGCAACCTGCCACATGATAAGATAGCTGAAAAACCAAGTCATACAAATTTCGTTAACAAAAATGATCAAATTAAATGTTTCAGACAGGGCATGGAATACATCATTGGAAACCAACGCTTATCGCAAGATCGACAATTTGTTAAAGCAGAAGTGACATT